GCGGCTGGCACAATAAAACAAAATGCCCACACACCACCTGCTTAAAAGAAACAGGGAAATTCCAGAATCACACAAGTGCTGGCTGGAGGGGCTGCTCTGAAGGTCTCCAATCCAGTCTCCTGCTCACAGACAAACATCTGATCAGTCAGCTGTGGCTTTGTGTAGCCAAGCTTTGCAAGTGTCCAAAGACAAACTGCATGCTGTGTCTTTTTAATGCAGGAGGGCTCATTTTAGACATGCTGTCTCAACTTGAAGAATGAAACAAGAACAGACAAGCCTACTTCCTGAGTAAGGTGCAGGATTGGGAATTCTTACCAGGGGAATATATTCAAACCAAAAATTATCTGATTCTCTGACTGAAAACAAAGTTTACAGAAGACATTTTCAGGCAACAGAGGTTGCCAAAGCAGTTTGTAGCTTAAAAAAATTGATACACAAATCAGTGCCCTCCTCCTGTGAGCAAAGATCAGAATCTCTAGCATGGCAAAAGCAGCAATTTAGCAACCCCATCAAGTAACATTTAGAGACAGAGAAAACACTGTGGTCATTGGCCATAGGGTGAGATGGAATTTCACTCCTACCGTCTAAGGCATTTTGAGAGATGTAAGTCGTTGAGACCTTGCTCTGTGTACAGCCATTCTCAGTTAAACAGTAACAGCAGGAAAAGTTATGCAAGGATAAGCTTGGCAGAGCTGTCACAAATAAAAGTAGCATAGTCTTGACTCATATAAGGAAATCACATACATATATGCTACCGCCCAAGGTAAGGGTGGTGAGGGGAAGCCCACCCATTGCACCCAGTGCACATTCAAAGCAGGGTGAGAAGGTTCACCCATAGAGCCAGCGTATTTCTGAGAACTAGAAAAGGAAACTGAGCCAAACAAAGCAGATCGGAAGGAACCACAGAAGCAAGTAAAACACCTGATCAACTATTACGAGGCAAGTCACAGACCAAGCAGCAAAACACAGATCTGCATTTAAAAAAAAAAGGTATATCTGCATTAGACATGGGACACCAGGAGAATGTTTTTTGCTGATAGACTTGAACAGATTACCAGCACAAACCAGTATTCAGCCAAGAATGTGGGAGAACTGAAGACAACATGGAGGAGTTAAGAAGTGCAAACATTAAAAACAACTCCTGTACCAAAGAATGCAGACAGATCACCCACACAGTCCTGATATTCACAGCAGGCTGTACTGTCCGTACCAGGTAAACCAGTAAAAAAAGTACATGAATTTTGAAACCTCTGAATGAGCAGAGTGCATGGAATAGGGACAAGCCAGGGAAATGTCTGCATGGAAAAAAGAAAAAAATAAAACTACTGCCCATCACCCAGTCATTAAAGGCAAATTTACTAAGAAGCTACCTGATGAAAAAGCTTTACTGACACCCCTCGCAGGCTGTTACTGGGAGAGGGAGGGATAAAAAGCAGCTCTATCAAGCCAACAGCAGAACCTCCTGAGGCTCTCTACTTTCACAAAAGGAAACAGAAGAGAATAAAAAGAGCAAAGACAAACTTACAAAATCCAGCACTGCCAAAACAAAAAAAAGTGGCAGCATGAAGAGGGAGTGAAAACCCAGCAAAAGGGAAAAGCAGAGCAGAACAGGCAGAGATCTGTCTGTGTCAGTAAAGAACGGACACTGCCTACCCACAACCAGGGTATGGGCTTTCGTCAACACAATGACATGGGAAACATCCAGACTTTCCGAGAAAGGGAAGCTGCTGAAGACAGGATGAAAGTAAAGACAAGCACAAGGACACTGCCAGAGATAATGCAGTTGACTGGGAGGTTGATGGTGAAACCTGGATTACTACTACATGTGATAAGGGATGATAAAAGGAAATTCTACAGATCTGGATGCTCCCACTCGTCTGACCGCATTAAAACTAGCAAACCTTCCAAGAAGCTGACACACCACTTCTTTCAGTGCATCATTAACTTTGGAATTCATGGTCATATGCAGCATAAACGCTTAAGCCATCCACAAAGACAGGCAAGGAGAATGGGAACATAACATTTTAGCCTTTTCCAGGAAACCCTCAGCACCAGCTCAGCTACTACATCAATCAGGTCACGTCAACTCCTACACGCAATGAGCTAAAGGCATCACAGATGCATACAACTCAACACAGAGCCAACCGCTTAGACAGAAGCATGTTCCAAACCTGATTCCCCTCTTTGAAGCTAAGTCCAAAGTCAATGAGCTTAAAGCACTCCTCCTCTGCACTCCACAGGATGTTGCGTGGCTTGAGGTCTGCGTGCACGTAGCCTTTGTGGTGCAGGAAAGCCAGGGCTTCAAGAACGTCTCGGGCGCAGTGCTGGATCATCCACATGGAGCAGCCCTGGTTGCTGGAGTGCAGCAGCAGCTCGGACACACTGATGTCCAGCAGCTCCAGCAGGAGACAGCGAGATGGGCCATTTGCAGAGTAGTGGTTGGTGAACACGCCGTACAGTGTCACTACAGTCAGACACAGTGACTGGCATTGGTAACAAGCAATTAAACAGTCACATTCCACCACTGCCCAGATCACCACAAAAGCTGCAGGAACCAGCGTGATGTTCAGAAAGATGTAGAACCAGACTTCACAGAGGGAGGCAGCAAGGAAACACCAGTCATGTCACCCCTAAGAGCTTTGGAGGGCAGGCCATGAGGCTCTGCTAAAGCGTCAGGGCCAAGCGCTCAGATCAAACTCTGTGACATGGATAAGCATGTCCCGGTGGGTAAAATGGAGGCAGTACCACTCTTTTTGGGACATGTCAATCTCTTCCTGCAACAAACCTAGCACAATAGGAACCTAAACTTTGCCTGGGTGTCTAGGTATGTTACAGCATTAAAAAGCATACCACACTGAGAAAAAGGATCAGTGGTGGGTGAACCTAGGGACTTCCAGCAGATGCCTCTGATGTGGAGACTTTCTCCTTTGCCAGGCCCTTTCCTACCCATACCACAGCCAGAGCCAGCAGGCAGACAGCACCCCACCGCTGCCGGGCAGGCAGTGCGGCTCAGGCAGCCCTACCTGAAGTGGGACACTGGGGTGCTCTGCCTGTGGGACGTACTCTGCCTACCCACAGGGTGACACCATCTCCTGCCTGCTCCTGCCCGCACTGGGGAGGTCACCCACAGACCCCAGCTCAGGGAAAGCGGGGGACCCAGGAGCATGCACCAACACCCACCATAGGGATGCTGCTTTGGGGTGTCCAGGCAAACCTGCCCTCCCAGGGGCGCCAACCCAAGGGGGACATTGGTTTGGGGGTCCCTAGCCCTACCTGTGAGGGCCAGCTTGGGGGTGAGGGCACTCATACTCCCCAAGGGGCTGGGGGTGGTTTCGGGACATCAGTTTGCCCTGGGGGAGGCTGTTTGGGGGGCGCTCCGGGAATAGGGGGTGCCCACGGGGCTGCCCTGGGAAAAGGGTTTGGGGAGGAGGTACCGGGGGTGACGTTACCGATGTTGCGGTGCCCGCGGAGGTGCTCGAGCGCGGCGCGCTCCTTGCGGAAGCCGTACTCGGCGCAGTCGGCGGCGGGCGGGCGGGCGCCGGGGCGGCGCGCGGGGCCGGGCCGCGGCGGGGGGGGTACGAACTCCTTGACGGCTCCCGGTGGGGCCCGCGGGTCTCCGCAGCAGCGCACCCGGTAGACGGAGGCCGAGGAGCCGCTGCCCAGCGGCGCCTGCACCTCCCAGAGCCGGCCCAGCGCCTCCAGCAGCGGCGCCGCGCCCCACACGCACCCCGACATGGCGCGGTCCCGCCTCACATCGCCCCCCCGCCGCTCCCGCTGCCCCGCCGCTGCCGCGCTACCGCCACCAAACCCGGCACCAGCCGCCGCCGCGTTCCGGCCGCCATGACACCGGAAACGGGGCGGGGACACCGGGCAGGGTGGCCGCCGGCCCGCCTTTGCCGGGGCGGAGTTGGCGCTGAGGTCCCGGAGTTCGGTCCCCTCAGAGCCGGCTCGGCGGGGCAGCCGTGTCGCCGCTCAGCCCCGGCACCGCTAAACCGACCCAGCGTCCCCCGGCTCCCCCATGGCCGTGCCGCTGCGCCTGGCTCCCGGGGTGGGGGTGCCCCTTGCAGGTGTCAGGCCTCTGGCAGCACTTTATGGGGGTATTGACAGAACTGAACATAAGCCAGCTTGTGCCCAGGCAGCCAAGAAAGCCGGCGGCATCCTGGCCTGTATCAGCAACAGTGTGGCCAGCAGGACTGGGGAAGTGACCATCCCCCTCTACTTGGTGTTGGCGAGGCCGTATCTCGAGCACAGTTCTGGGCCCCTCATTACAAGACAGACGTTGAGGTGCTTGAGCAGGTCCAGAGAAGGGTAATGAAACTGGTGAAGGGTCTGGAGAACAAGTGTGATGAGGAGCGGCTGAGGGACCTGGGGTTGTTTAGTCTGGAGAAGAGAAGGCTCGGGGGGAGGGGGGCCTTACCGCTTTCTACAACTACGGAAACGAGGTTGTAGCAAGGTGGGGGTCTTTTTCTCCCCCCAAGTAACAAGTGACAAGACAAGAGGTAACGGCCTCAAGCTGCTCCAGGGGACATTGTTTAGATTGGATATTAGGAAAGATTTCTTCACAGAGAGGGTGATCAGGCATTGGAACAGGCTGCCCAGAGAAGTGGTGGAGTCACTGTCCCTGGGAGTGTAAAAACCGTGTAGATGAGGCCCTCAGTGACATGTTTTAGTGATGGTCTTGGCAGTCCTGGGGTAGAAGTTGGACTTGGTGATCTTAAAGGTCTTTTCTAACCTAATTGATTCTATGATTTCCCTTAAACCCCATGGCTTTAAGTAGGGCGGATCTCACTGTCCTGTGCAATCACTCCAGCTTTCCCTGGTGGCTTTCCCCAGCACCCCTCAGCACCACAGGGCTGCTGCCTCACTCTTCGGCTTTGCAGCCCCCATGCAGGAGCATCCAGCATGGCCCCAGGCTCATCAGGAGTCTTCAGGGCTATACCACATGTGGTCCACTCCCATCAAAGGGTTGCTATGTGTTAGTGGGTAAAAAAGAAAGAAGATTTATTGTGCAATCTGCATCTTTTGTCCCAAACTACACAGACACTCTACACAAATTAAATAGAGGGACTGGACCAGCAGTGAGGTTCCCTTGTGATCGGTAGGGTTGGAAGATGCTGGTTCTTCAAAGAAGAGCTACAAGCCCTTTTTTCCATCTACATAAACAATGCAGTATAGACCTAGGCAGCATACACATATACATACTCACACAGATTTCTGTTTGTGGGGTGGAATCAGCCACACACAGTGTAATCGCATTATACACAGGGTGTGTTATACCATAGCACTGGCCACAGGCTGGCCGCAGCCTCTGTGCATCTCTGATGTCTCCTTCATCTCCGGCAGGGCCTTCCCAGGGGATGAGAGCTGCAGAGCCCCAGTGCTGCCACAGCGTCCGCCATGCCAGCAGGCATGTTGACTGCTCCCAAAGCAAAGGGATTCATACTCACGGCCTCCATCCTTCAGAAGGACCACAAGCATGGCTTTGGGTGGTGGAAGACATTTCTTTGGCACAAGTGTCCTGCATGGCACCAGAGGAGCTGTGAGCAGAGGTGCCCCATCCATGACTCCCTAGCCTCCTCCAGCTCAAATGTGGTCTTGGGAACTTTTCCTCTCAAACCACCTTTGTAGTGAGGATGCACATAAAAAGTCTAAGCAAAAACTGCCATCTCACAGCTGCTTCCTTGCACCAGCCCATGGATCCACGGGCTGTAATTCATGGGGAAACAATCATATAGCAGTATTGGAGGACCATATGGCTTCCTGTGTCCCAATTTCACAAAGACATCACCATGCCAACAAATAAAGAAGAACGGTGGCACTGGCCCACACAGCGTGCTGCCTGCCTGGGCAGGCCAGCCCTTTCCGTGCTGGCTGGGGTGAAACCAGGAAACAAGCAGGAGCTAGAGGTGAGTCTCACAGGGAGGCTCAGCTCTCAGCCAGAGCCTAGTGGTCAGCAGCCGTGCAGGCCCAGGTGACCAGCCCTGCTCCCCAGCAAAACTCACTCTGCGAGTGGGTTCCCCAAAACTGGGGCTCAGGTGCAGAGAGATGGCACTGGGCAGAACAATGCTACAGGGTTGGCACCTGGAGAAGGTGCCATCCTGGCTCACTGGCACTAGACTACAGGTGTGAGTAAGCCCACTAGCACCCTGGGACAGGGTATCTCAGCAAGCACATAGCATAAGCTGGGAAATCCTCCTGACCAGGGAAGCCAGCACAGTGTGGGACACTTGGCCGGGCAGAGCGGACAGGGTTGGGGGCAAGCTGGTGCTTGTGCACCCATGCATGAGCACCCAGGCTGCTGAATGACCCCAACCCTTGGTCCCCAGCCCAGCATGGTTCCTGGCTGCAGACAGGATGGAAGCACTGTGGCGGGATGGAAGCTTTGCACAGACCACGGCAAATAAACCCAGGATGGGGCTGCAGAAGTCATAGCAGGACAGGCTGCTCCCCTCCTGGGAATTTGGGAAGAAGTGGGATGTTCTAGCACCCCAGACTGGGGCAGCAGGGGCTTCTGCCACCCTGGGGATTCCCCCTCTCCAAAATGACCCCAAAGAGACATGGGGTCAGCATATGGCTGCAGGAGACACGCTTGGGAGAGCCAGCCCCCACAGTGCCCCTGCTGTGGCTCCCCCACTGCTACTCAAATGACAGTAAGTCAGGATGGGGCCCCTCCACCTCCCAGCCAGGGGAACATGCCTCTGGCCGCCCTGTGCTCCCCAGTGGCTCATGCTCCAGCCCTGGTCTCTGGGAGGACTTCTCTGTGCCAAGCGACTCTCCTGTTCGCCGCTGGCTCTCCAGGTTGCCCTTATGGATGAGGTCAGGCACAGGAAGAGCACCAGTGGGCTGGTCCCCACTGGAACCTGGGGTGCCCATCATGCTGGGGACCCCAAGGCATTCTAGAGGGGATGGGTCCCTCATCCCCGGCTGCTCCTCTGAGGGGTCAGAGTGGGCTGTGGGTGGTTCAGGGGACTCCTCCGTGCTGCTCGTTGGGGTGGTTGCCACTGGCTGTGGAGCAATGAGCATGTCCTGTGGGGTCTTCAGGGCACGTGGTGTCCGCTTCTTGGTGACGGGGGGCGGGGGGTCTAGCCGGGGAAAAACATCCAGCCCCACAGCCCTGCAAGCACAGAGAAGTCACATACAGCCCCATGCTGACGCCCCTCCAGCCTGTCCCAAATGGCCCCATCAAGGGAACACTCACCCATCCTCGCTAGCCGGCTGTCCCATGCCCAGAATGGCACCAGCACTGGCATTCACCTCCATCACTCCCACAACAGGGAAGCCACCTGGCTCCTTGCGGCGCAGGAGATCATTCACCTTGGCCCCCATGGCCTTGCCCAGGTTGCGGAGGTGCTGGCTGCCGGCAGGGCGGGAGGGCTGCAGCAGGGCTGCAGCAGGGCCGTGATGTGGCCGTGGGGTGGGTGCTGTGCTGGCACTGGAGTTCTCAAACATGCTCTGGTCCACTGGAGGGGGAAAGGGGACAGTGAGGGCTTGTGAGCCAGGCTGGAGAGGGGACTCCCACAGGGGCAGCATGTCCCAGAGCTGCTCACCAGCTCCCAACTCAGCAGCATGGGAGCAAATTCTGGGGGACAGGGAGGCTGTTTCTGAAGCCCCGCAGAGGCTGTGAGCAGCCAGGCCATGCACTGAGGATAGTATGGGGTGGGATGGGGTAGCAATGAGCCCAGGGCTCCACACCAGCACTGCCAACACACCAAGAGCATCTCTTACCTGACACTGAGCGACTTGGGAAGCAGGTTGTGGAAAGAAAGAAAGAGAATTTACCAAGGGGACAACAAGCTTGTCCCTTCTGCACTGCCAGGTGAGGTTTGCTGCTGACCCCTGCCCAGACCTGGCACACTGCCTGCGGAGATGGGACCCACGGGAAGCCCTTGTCAGCCAGGCACCTGCAGAGCAGCAAGGCGTTCCCTGGGGGGCACCCACAGCCTGGGCTCTGCACTGCCCACCCTTCTAGTCTTCTCTCCAGCCCAGGCTGTCTGTCCCCTTGTACTGGCCAAGCTCCTGAGATCCCAGGGCCTGAGCAGACTGCCCAGGAGCATCCTGCAGTGCACCATCCCTTTGTGACATCAGCTGGATTACAGCATGGGTACCATGCTGCAGGAACTACACCATCACCAGCTACATGAGGGTGATGGAGAGCTTTGGCCTGCCCACCGTTTCCGTCAGGACTGTGCACTGTGGCACCAGGACAAGAAGCCCAGAGGCCCCATGCCCCTGTGGCCCTACTAGCCTATCAGGTTAGAAGGGGGTGCATGCAGCCAGCACTGCATGTGGGGAGGGGCCCCCCTTGCACCTCCTGCGCATGGCCATGGCACTGCTCAGCCTTCTGTGGCAAGCAAGGGCCTGTAGGAGGGGTTAGGCTGGGCATGGGTGGAGAAAGTGGACCGGGTGGCGCTGCAGCAGCGGGTGCTTTCTGGGGACCTGGTGGGGCTCTGTAGTTACACCCCTCCTCTGAACTACACTGGCGTCTCCGCCATGTCTTCCCAGAAGGAATCTTCAAAGTTGTGGGTGCTGCCCTTGGAGTCATAGCTCAACCTCACCCATCACTGCCTTTGTGCCAGTGCAGCTCTCCATGGGAGGGCTCCAGTGAACTGCTAGATGAACTTTGTGCAGTGCTGGTGCCTTGATGCCCACCCACCATCCCTTGCCTGTATCTACCCCTGCATTCCATAGTGGGAGGGATGGTACCCTCCATGATGGGAATGACAGACACAGACATCTCTGACATCCCATGGAAACAGAGAGGAACAGTGCAGTGCCCAACATTGCTCCCAACCCCGTGGGAGACCAGGCTCTTACAGGGACCCCTGACTCACTGCAGACCCTTTCCTCTACAGCCTGTGACCCTGCAGCCCCACCAAGCAGCAAGCTCCCTGCCAACACCCACACCATCTACCGGCCCTGGTTCTCACCTTACAGCTACTTCATGTGCACCAAAGGAGATACTCAGCAGCACCAGGACAGCCCCTTCTCCAGCCTTGCCACCGGCACCCAGGAGAATGAGGAAGCTGATGACCTCTTGGAGATAGTCTGCTCCTCTTCTGACTCCTCAAATGAGGCTCAGCTACCCAATAGGGACAGGCTGCCCAGTAGCAGAGCCAGCATCACAGTCCAGGACATCCTTGCTGCTTCCCAGCAGCACCCAGTGTCCCAGCATGGCTACCAGTGTGTATCATGCTGCTGCATGTTCCCCACGCTGTGGTCGATCAAGACCCACATCCAGAACAGCTCTCACGAGGGCTACAGCTGTAAGGTGTACTACCGCAGGCTCAAGGCCCTGTGGGAGAAGCAGCGCATGCTGCAGGAGACTGCGGCCCCCGGGGCGTCCATGTAGCCCCGCCAGCAGGGCTGCCGCCGCGGGAGGGCACTGCTCCTTCGCTCTTGTCAGCGGCAGAATAAATCGTTTCAGGAGCAGCCAGCCCTGTCTGCCTGCTCCTCTTGTCTATATAATCCTTTAGAAGAGACTTCCCGACTTTTCCTTTACCAGAAGCCAAAAATCTCCCATGTCCCTGAAAGCACTGCTTAGCATCTCAGCATCTCTGCATGGTGCTCTGCAGATGGCAGGAACCCCCTGGCATCCTCAAACTGCTGGGTCAGCACTGGGATGAGCCTGTGCTGTGCAGTGGCTGAAGGGGAAGACTGAAACCCCTCTACTCCCAGCAGTGTTCAGGGCACCTCGCTCTCACCAGCAGCCAGTGGTTGGCACCACAAGCAAGAGTCCCACAGGGGAGGATGCTTAGTTTGGAGGTGTGCAAGGCCAAGGGATGCCACTGCTGGTGGTGGCTGTCAGCATGGAGGGGGAGAGAAGTACAGAAAGAGAGAGAGTCAGTGAGAAGGAAGAGACAACAGGAAGCCTTGAGAAATAGAAAGATTTATTTAGCAAAAGCCAGTTGACTAATGGTAACACCCAAGGGTTAAGTGCACTTACATTGCAGATTGGTCTCCCAGATAGATTGAGTCAACAGTTAGTAACACGACAGTTGTAGGAAAAGAAAGGACAAAAAATATAGCTTTAAATTCCCAGTTAAGGTCCATAGCAAAAGTGAGAGGCTAGAGAGCCATCTTGGAGACAGCGCTGACTTAGGAGGAGGATTGTTTACACATGTACACCAGTGGTGCAGCAGGACACTGGCAGGATCCCAGCCAGCTCTGGCAGCACCCTATCAACCCATGGGGCACCCCCCACCTTCTCCTGCAGGCAGAGTGCTGGGCAGGAGCCTGAGCCCTCAGCTGGTCCCAGTGCTCCTCTCAGGGCACTGCCTGGGCTACACCTGTGCAGCAGGGATGTGCAGGAGCGGTGGCTCCGGGAGAAAGCTCAGCCCTGCCTGCTTTCTAAGGCAGCCCAGCCTGGAAAAGACTTGCTGCTGCTCCTCCTGGGCTCTCCTTTCATCTGCCCTGTGCATATGGCCAAGCTCCTGCTGTCCCCCTCCTGCATGATCTGTCTGCCAACATGGAAATCCCTCTCTGAGCTCACCCATGCAACCCACACTATCTGTACCATCTCCTGTGCCTGCTACCTTCCCCACTTCTTCCTCCTGGTGGGGCCAGCCTCCTGCCCCATGCTTTCACCTCCAGCTGCTGTGAGCTGGCAGTAGGATGTGAGGGTCCCAAGCAGAGGGGCTTGCACACAGCTGTACCCACAGCAATGCAGGACAGGGCATACAGAGGTATTGGTGGCCAGAGGACAGGGGCAGCCCTGTCCCAAACAGCACCTGCTCCTACTCTGCCACTGTGGCTGGTGCAGGGGCTCCCCTGGACACCAGGCCACTGCTGGGGACACCAAAACATCTTCTTTCCCACTAGGACTCTCTAGCTCCTCAGAGTGTCCAGCCTTCTCCTGTGATGGAGGCTGCATAGCAGTTTGTACCAACCCGGGGAGTCTCACCCATACCTCATTCCTTATTAGCCCTCAGTCCCAAGGGTACTGGGGCAGAAAGAAGTGATGGCCCTTCCTCAGCAGCCAGGCGAAGAACAAGAGCTCATGTCGGAGAGCTCCTCTACTAAGGGTTAGTTGCAGGCAGATCTAGCAGAGACAGAGCTGGTGAAGACAAAAGTAGCAAGAAAGCAACAAAGTGAAGCAGAAGCAGGATAGGAGGGTGAGTGGGGAGGAAGACAACTGTGCCAGTCCCCACCTCATCGAGTGTTTCCACAAGAAGCAGGATGGACATTAGAACTCTGGTTCATACCCCTTCAGCTGCATCCTCTTAGAGACTGCTTCAACAGACAACTGATAAATGTGCTTGCAGAAAAGAAACACACTCTAGATCCCTTGGAGGCTGCCAGGATGGCTCTCAGCCATGGGTGTCTTGGTGTCTGCTGGGGAGTCCTAAGATCTCAGATTCACTTTTCCAGAGGGTGCAAACCAGAGCTAAAGAAGCCCCCTTGCAGACATCAGCAGTTCCCTCCCCATTGAGGGATGGCAAGCGTGCCCATCCCTGCACACAGACAATGCCAGCACTGCATCCCCCATCCCTGGTCCAGGGGCACATGACTGCTTAGAAATGGGACGGTTTGTCTATAAAGCAAAGCTGGGAGTTTGTGGTGAAGGGGTGCAGGGAAATGCTTGAAAATGTGACTTGAGAGCACCAGAAAGGCTTTGAAACCTGGCAGCCACGCGGAGGAGCAAAAGGACTGTATGACGAGACAAAGGGCACTGAACAGCCCTGTGCTGCATGCCCTGGCTCCCTGCTCCACACCGAGCTGAGCCTTCGTACCCACTCCACAGACTGAGAGAGGAGTGGACATAGCCTGCAGGCCTTCCACCTACCTCAGGCAGGACAAACCCTTTCCTGGAAGCACAGCAAACACCATCAACCTGCCAGGAGCTGCCTGTGCATGGCCACCCTGCATGACCTCATCTCACTCCTTCAGCTCCTTCCAGGCTCTTCCCCACTGCTTCACCTCTCACTTGTTCACCCCTGCCAACAGTGCACCATCACCACCCCTAACCACCCTATCAGCATGGACCTGGCTTCATCTCTCACCCTCTCCACCATGCAGATAGCCAGACCTCCTGACAGTGGCTCTATCTCTGCTCACTGCCTTCATGTTGCCTCCTTGGTCCCTCTTGCCCCACGCCTGCTCTCTCATTCCCCCAGCAAACCTTCATCTACTTTCCTGCTTCCCCACCAGCAGCAGTGGATAACCTGGCAGGGAGTCCCTTGCTTCTGCCTGACCTTGAAATGCAGCCTGCAGGGGGACAGGGACCATGGGACAGCCCAACCAGCTCAGCTCGCTGTCTGATGTGAAGTGGGGATGCTCCAGCTCAGCACACAAGGCCTTGCAGGGTGGAGCACAGCATGCCCAGCACACCGCCTCGGCACGGCTCCATCCTCACCTCTGCACAGCTCCCAGCTGTGTGCTGAAGCCTCATGTTCCCTCCTCCACCCCTCTACCTCCGAGATGTCCTGCTCCTGCCAGGGCCAGGGGGTTATGACCAGGGTGCAGCCCAGCTCCGGCAGGTCTGCACCACCTCCCGCCAACCCCTACACCGCGATCTCATCCTCCAGGCTGTCACCCAGGTCCTGCCTGGTCTGGACATGGAGCAGGCGCGGTGGCTCCTCCTGGGACCAGGAGTCACGCTCCTCACTCTCATCCGTGTTGGACTCATACTCGGAGGCAATGCCCGACTCACGGAACTTGATGAGCTCCAGGCTGCCCAGCGCTGGCTCCGGGGCAGGTGGCCCTGAGTCAGGCAGGAAGCGGTAGCACTCCAGCTTCACCAGACAGTCGTTCCTACCTATGGGGCTGCCCATGGTGCTGGGGAAGCCTGAGCCAGAGACCAGTGGCGGCGGGTGGGTGTCCTCGGGCTGCGGGGTGGTCGGGTCGCAGAGGACAGGGAGGACATTTGAGCGGAAGGTGATCTCCAGCAGGCTGTCCTGGGAGCCCGCTGCAAGAGAAGAGCATGACTGAGGGGCAGGCAGTGCTACCCCAGCTTGCCTGGGCATACCCCAGCCACCACAGCTGCTTGCAGACTGGCCAGAGGAGGATGGCCTGGGCTGCTTAGGTGTCAGCCTCCCCACCGCAATCATTTAGAGGGGCTCATGTGGTGTCACTGGTGCCAGGAGCTGCTGCCTGCCAATAAAGAGCCAGTTTTGCAGGATAAAAAGTTACGTCTCCCATCCAAGCTTCTGCAGGGAGCTGATGGCCACATCTGCTGGAGCGCAAGGTCAAGAAGGGGCTCTTGAGCAGGTAAGGAGCTGGCCTAGAGCATGCAGCCCCTGGGGAAAGCGGTCATACAGCTGAGGGACATATATGACCTGTCCATACAGTCCTCCCCAAGCCATTCCCACATTGCTTGCAAGCACTCTGCCACATGCAAACCAACCAGGCCGGAAAGGCACTAATATTCCCCTACACACCCACTGGTCAAGCACAAAACCCCAAGAGAAACACCCACATGCATGTCCTCCACAGACCTGGCTAGCTGTGAGGGGAGAGTAAGGGGCAGGAGCGCTTACTGGTGGTGTTCCCCGCAAGCTTCAGCTCCAGCTCCTGCACCTGTTTGACCAGGAGTGAGATGTGCTGCAGCAAGTCCTTGTTCTGGAGCAGGAGCTGATGCACGCGAGCCTGGGCTTCCAGCCGCGCTGCTGCCTCTGCAGCCAGCTGGTCCTTCAGCAAGTGGACCTGTGTGACAGGAGAGAGCAGGTAAGTGTGTGGATGATGCTGCTCAAGGGCTGAGTGTCAATTCCAGCCAGCCCTGCTCATCTACCAGCACTCACCAGCATCCCATGGAATGATCTAATGAAGAAGCCATTCCCTGTGGGTACCCACAGATGAGATGCAGAGCAGGGCAGGCAGCAGTGTCACACCAGTGTACATGCAGCAAATCCAGCACATGGTCCCCATGCCTCTTGGATGGAAAAGCCCGAGGCAAAGGAAAGTAGCACTGACCAAACCATTGGTTACATACATGTGCCACGAATGCACAAAAAAGGACAGCCCGGGAGGGAGCCAAATAGATGCAGAAGAAAAGACACACTCGAACAATTGGATAGTGCTGCCGATGCATGAGCGTGCAGCCATGCACCATGGGCAGCCCCATCTGAGCTGTCTTTCCAGGCAAGTTTCCCAGGGACAGGGTCCTGCCAGTGGCGTCTGTCACTAGCAGGGGCTGGAGCATCAGAGCTGCCCTGGAGCTGCAGGTGGCTCTGGCTGCGACAGCATGACAAGCCTCGAGCAACACAGATGGCAAAGTGCTGCTGAGACACAGTGGCTCCAGGGATGCGAGCTGGCTGCTCATTTTAGCCCTGGAAGTAATGCCTGGATGTTAGCCTGCAGGGAGTCCATGGGCAAGAAGCCCACTGATCTCAGCATAACTACCCACAGGCAAGTGATCTATATCACCAGCACCACATCCCAGAGAGGGTGGGATGCTCCTGGGTGAGACCAGCCAGGAGCACTTGCCCAGGGGCAGCTCTTTGATCTGCCCTCCTGGATGGGTACCAGAAGGCAGCGCCGGGTCTGCTTGCAAGCAGATTCTGCCTGCTTTGTCCAAACACAGCCAGCAAGGCAGCATGGCAGTGCCCCTGGCAGGGCAGAGTTGAAGCACAGCGAGCTCAGGCGGTGGCAAGGGGCCAAGCAAAGTGCTGTGACCTGCAACTGTTCATGAAGCCAGACCAAGAGCAACAGGGTGCGATACTTTACACACTGAGCAGGCAGCATAGAGCCCTTTTGGTTTGCTTGTGGGCCTCCAGCCAGGTGAAATGCCACACCACCACTACAGTCACCTCTTCTTCCTGCCAGTGGTGGAACAGTGGGGCACAGCAGTGAGGTGGGACAGGGACCCTCTGCCAAATGCTGGTGGGCGAAGCAGAGACCCTGAGCAGAACTGGGATTATATGTAAATAACAAGTGGGTGCTAAAGTTCGGTACTGGCAGCGTCAGCCTGGAAGTCATCCCTCCTTGCAACTGGCAGCTGTCTCCATCTGCAGCAGGGGCCAGGTGACACCCAGGTGATGCCAGGGGAAGATGCCAGCAGAGCCCAAATGCCATGTCCTGCAGAGGGGCAGTGGCTCATGCCATCATCCCCTTGGGAACAAGGCCCAGGAAGGACTCCTGGCCTTAATTCAAGAGAAGGAACTTTCACAGGAGTCTGTACACACCTTGCAAAAGCACGTCTCTAGTCAATGAGGGAACTAAATGGCATTTCATCCTCAGCCAAGTAATTAGAGGCTGAGACAATTGCAGGATGGTCCCTGTAGTTATTGACCAACCATAGATCCTTGTCAACACAGTGGATCTCCCGGCTTTGTTAGTAAACAATTAAGCCTATGCCTCCTCCTCTGAGAGGAGATAACAAGTGCCATTAACAGAGGTGTTGATGTAACACATGCAGTCATTTGAAAGGCAGTTGAGGTGATAGGGCCCAATGTTTTCATTAATAAATTACAATGATACAATATCACCACGGTGCACATACTGAAGGGATTAGAGAACAGCTAAGTGACAGCTCCTGTGACAAGAACCATCCTATGGTGGGCAGAGGTCCAGAGAAGGGTGCCAGCCCTTGGAGAGGGGGAGATGAGGCCATGGGCTGCCATCCCAGGAGCCAGACAAGCGATGGCATTACACTATTTCAGATTTTTTTTTTGTTTGGAAGTAGGAAATAAAATGACCACTGCAAGGCTGTGCAGGTACACAGACTGGGAGCTGCTGAAGGTGATCAGCCCCTGCCACAGAGGGGCCTGGCTTTCCCTGGTGAGCTTTGCCTGTAACAACACTATGCTTGGTCAGACATAAAGAATGCAGGTCCCCCTTCCAGAGGGGAAAGCAACTTCCCGAGCCTGTGACCCCAGAAGATACTGAGCTGTCAGGATAGCAGCTCAGACAGAAGAACCAATACTGATTTTCTGATGTGAGAAGAGGAAAGCATGGGACAGCACAGAAAGGCTGCTGGAGCCAATCGCTCAGCACGGAAAGAAATGAGAGCTCTTTGAGGAGTCAGGGAACAAGTAAAGCTAAGGTAACGAGTTGGATAAAGCAGCCAGAGCTGCTTAAATGAGAAATGCCTGCATAGAGAAACAGCTGCCAGCTGCACAGCCCAGGCAGCAGCTGGCCAGGGCTAATGCTAAGCCAAGCACTGGCAAACAGACAGGGGCCAAAGGACCAAGAACACTGGTGGCATGTGGACCTAAGCATCTCATCTTCTGTGACAGGGCCAGGGCAAACTGCCATTCCTCTCCCGCTGCTGCACAGCCCAGGAGTGGGTCCCTCCCCACAGACTGTGCACCAGCTTTTCCCACAACCATCGCCTGGGCTTCTCTGCCTAGAGGCAGCATGCCCTCCCCACGATGCTGCCTGTCTGCAGCACTGCCTTCAGGCAGGGGTTACTCTGGCAGGAATGAGGAGCTTGATAGCATGCCCCAGCCTTGCCGCTGCCCCAGGAAAGAGTAGAGGGGAGAACCTGTGCCACAGCCACTTGTGTCTGCTGCTGTTGCTGCTGCAGGAGTTGCTGGAGGAGCTGCATCTGGTGGTGAGCAGAAAGGGGTGTTCCCAGGTCAGGCAGCTGCGCAGATGAGGGCAGCAGCATCTTAGGCGATGCTGTCAGGATATCTTCAGGGAGGAGGCAGCCCTGCAAAACACCAACATCTGTGATCCTGTGCCCCTTGCCATGGAGAGCCCACAGGCACACACAGGCTGTAGTCCCTTAAAATACCCAGGAAAGAAGCTTCTGCATGAAAAACAAATGCAGACTTTGCTGGGGGTGCTGAAAAACTAGGAAGATGGTGTTTTTTCAGTTTTGACAACAGCCCAAATACTTCTGTAGAAAATTCCTGAAAAGGCTGACACTTCTCATGGGAATTTCCACTGTATCAAAAAAGTCCTTTTTTCTCTTTTGTTTGTTTGATGGAAAAAAATCCCTATCAGCTCTGCCCCAGACACTTTCCATGTGGCTGCACATAGCTGAGCCTCAGCACAGCACTCCCCAGGAGTGTCCCGGGCCCCAAGCCAAAGGGCAGCCCTGTGGCAGCAGACAGCTTTGATCTGGGATCAGGGGAATGCTGCAGAATCCCTCCTGATCCCTGGGCCCCTGGGATGCTCACAGCCATAGCGCCAGGGCCACGCCATGCACCAGCAGTTGAGGGCAAGGACCCATGCACGTTGGCATCAGTGTATGCACTTGCCTCCTTGTCCACAGCATCCAGGTCAGTCACGCCACGGCTGAAGTCAAGGATGTCAGCTCCGGGCAGTGGGAGCTCCACAGCATCGATGTCCGTCTCCTCTGCCGAGGCGGCTGCCCGCTCTGCACCGGTGAGGCGACAGGCTGTGGGAGCAGCATCAGAGCAAAGTACAGCCCGCTTGGAGTGGAAGCATCCTATGGTGTGCCCAGGGTATAGTGAGTGATGCCCATCGGTCAGCCTCCACTGCCCCAGCCACCCACCCCCCAGTGCTGGGGGAAGCAGGTACAGAACACCACAGCTGTATTTCCTGGATGGAGCTTACAGCCAAAAACACACCCAGCCCCAGCACATCAAATCTGGGGAACAGCGGTCAAAACCCCTGATGTGGAACAAATAGGTCATCAAAAGCAGAAGACACGTAGAAAGCTAAAGGAAGGTAAGCAAGAGATTACAAAGGGAAAAAACCCAAACAAAACAAAACAGATGCTCAGAAATCTCCAGGGAACTGCATATCATGGCCTGGACATTGTGTGGAGGAAAACCAAACAATGACTTGTCCAGGAGAGCCCCATGATTAGGTCATCACAACAGCACTGGCTGCAGAGGAAAGCAGGCAACCCACACCCAGATACCAGGACCCATCAGCATCTCAATGGGCAATGGAGGTGTTTAACCAATCTCTTGCAAAACATCGGTCTCCCCTCCAGTTCAGTCACTGGCACCAAGGAGCGTGGCAGCTCTCCAGGGCCCCACTGAGCCCTCTGCCGATGGGGCTGAGAAGGGAGACAGGGTCCGCAGGCTGCCTGCAGCTCCAGGAGCTTGATGCAAGACCCCAAGCACAGCTTCATAATGCAGGGAATTGCAGAGAGCTGGACTTGGCCCCATGAGTGCCTCAGAATGTGCGCAAGTGCTTAGTGCGTCTTCTTGGAAGCAGTGAGGAAATGTTTGCAGCATGTGCAGCTGAGCATGGAGAGTATTCAGGCACCCAGCAGAGACCCAGGCACTGCTAATGGGCTCCCAGCAAGGGTGATGTCTGTGAAAATGACAACTAACACCTACCGAAGGCTCCTTGCTGGGCACCATCCCAGCTTCAGCATAAAGCACCACAGGCCAGATTGCTGTGCAAATCCATTCCCTGCAGGTGTCAGACGGCAAGGAGCCACATGGGAAGAGGGTAACTGCACGCCACAACTGCCAGGCTCCAGCGCCTTCACACCACACCTGCCTCCACCCTTGCAGAGTACCTGGGACATCCAGGTCGTCCCCGTTCCTCTCACTATCTCCATCCTCCTGCCCATCTGCATTTTGCTGGGTGTGCTGCAGGCTCAGCTTGTGGCAGACCTCAAATGCCTGGCCCACTGTCCGGACAATACGCATGGCTTGGCTCTGCGGGAGGAAAGGAGAGAAGGTGCTTAACCTCAGCTGGGCTGCCCCAGCCCAGTGACCTCCCCAGCCTGGCACAGCTCTTAGGGGTCTCTGTGTGATGCCACATGGACTGAGGCACCAGCACTCGGATCACCAGGGTGCTCTGGGCTGCCAGCTGCAGCACGGTGACAGGGTCCTGTCCCAGCTGCCCCACTGAGACCCTGCAATGGCAGGATGCACATCCCAGCATCTCTACCTTCTTCTTGGATTTGAAGACGTTGCACCTGAAGACATTGCTAGACCCATCCCTGGCAATGTAACTGAAGATCTTTAGGTCCTGGGAGTCATGAGACACATAGAATATCCTACAAGGACAGTAAGGAAAGGAAAATATCAACATACATTTTACCCACATGCCCAGGAGACTGGCAAGGCCACAGCCACCGCTTTGCAGGGCACAGGGAGCCAGAATATGCCCAGCTTCTGCAGCACATCCCTGCAAAATCCCATTGGAAACATTTTTGGCAGTGGTTTTGCCTTAACTGGGAAAAGTAGCCTGCTGACACAGCAGCTGCAAGCATTTTGCAGAGGCAGCATGGGCTTTCTTTGCTCAGTCCCCAGGGACAGAGCCAGCAGCCCAGGAGCCCTCCAAGGACCAAGGAAAGCAAACCTCACTCATCCACCTTGCCTGCTTGAAAAGCTGCCCTCAGTGGGCATGGTGGTAGCTCTCCATGGTCAGTCCCCAACACAGTGCTGTTGTGGTGTGGGGTAAGTACCACAGCAGAAACACGCAAGCCTCCATCCCCTCACCGTGCAGACTTACCTGTAGATGGGATCGTGCATGACAAGCATTTTGTTCTCATCCCAGGCCCATTCTTTTTTCTGCAATGAAAGAAGCTGAAAATGAGTACGTCAGATGCTGCCCTTGAGATCAACGACAGGACAAAGACAGTCCAGGGACAGACCTGGAAACTCTTGTCACAGCTCTGCTGATGCTCCTCTGCAACTCTTTGCCAAGGGTTGGGTCCTCCCAGGGACCAGCAATGTCCCACATCACTTCTCTTGGGGCTCCTGAGCCCCATGCATCAAGATCCCCTGCATCAAATCAAGATCCCCTGCATCAAGACTGGCTCAGGCACCCTGAGGGAACACAGCTCATCTGAGGCTCATCCCAGCCCTCCCTCTCCCAGCCCAATAGAGTTTCACAGAACTCCAAGGATGCTGCAGGTCCCTGCATTGCGAGGGGAGTGCTCCTGCTGCTGAGGCACCACTGCTCCGAGGACCAGGGCTGCCTACCTTCTTCTTCTTCTTCAGAATGACTTTCACACCATCCACTGACACAATGAGATTCACTTTCTTCTTCTTGATATTCTTGGCTTTAAATTCATACTGCAGGGGATGGAAGAAAATACCTGAATTAGCCTTCTTGCATCAGGAAAGCCCCAGAAAGGGCTGAGAAGACTCATGGGAAGTGGCAAGAGCAATAGGGAAAAGTTTGCTTCCCTGAGCACATGCCTGCACCAGCCTGCCCATCCACACTAGGACAGGACAGCAGGCTATTTTGCCTTGCAGTGTCCCTGTGCCCAGCATCCAGAGGAGCACACCCAGAAGCGATATGGCCCCTGGATGTGAATAATGCTTTGCTCAGCCCAGGGTGCTGTTGGAAATGTTAACCTGTGTTCCTCTGCCCCTCTGAAGGGCTGTACCTCCCCCAAAAAGGGCTGCCACCTCGCCAGCCCTGCCAGCCCCTGGGGCTCCACAACCTGGCTGGGTTTGCTCCACTGACTGTGACCATTGTTGAGCTCTCATACGGGAAATGGCATTTCTACTGGGCTTTTTTTTCTTGGGCTCAGTGTAAAAGTGAAGGTGGTTGCTGAGGAGTCTGTGAACTGCTCCAGGGGAGAGGGGATAATGCAATTACCCACTTCAATTAGAAGTCACTGGACAGGAAAAAACCCAACAGGAACTTCTGAAGATCAAAGACTAAGCACAAAGCTCTGGTCCAGCCGGGGGAGAGAACTGAGATCTTCCAAAATCCAGCCACTTTAGCATTTAATCTTATGAGTGGGGAGTGGGCTGGCAGGGGAATAAGCTAGATGAGCCATTTAGGCTGAGCAACTCCTGCTCTATTTTGGGGATAGGACTAGTCTACCATGCCTGCACCTACATCAAGTACCTGGTGCTCTGGCCCCACAGGCAGGGTGCTCTGCACAGCCACGGGGACAGATCCTCTGTGTTCCCCCAGCAGCAGAAAAGCCCTGCATCCTGCACCTCACACATCCAAGAAGAGGAATTCAATTTATCCTCTCATTATTTCACCAGTTTCTCTGCAGAGGGAGCACAGGGCAGGCACCCTGAAGCAAAGCCTTGCCTCCAGTCCACACTGAGCCTTGAGCCTCGGTGTGACATTTCCAGCACTGCATGATGTATCCACTTTGGCAGCCAGAGCCAGCAGACAGGAAAAGCTGCTGGCCCTGACTGGCGATCGAATGATAAAAGACCTGAAAATAAAATTCCTTACAGCCATTTTAAAGTCACCGATGGGGATGGGAGACACAGGTGACTCGGATAACAGTGAGAGGAGTGCAGCTCTGCCCTCCCCAGTGCACAGACCAGGCAAGCTGTGCAAGCCCACCTGTGCTGGGGCTGAAGCCATGGTGATGGGCTGGGGAGAGCAGAGCTCAGGCCCCCACCATGGATACAGCCAGCCTCAAAATTCCCAGAACATACTCATATGCTGCTTGCAGGGCTTATTCTTCATGGACAAGGGCCTCACCAGAGTCCCTCATCAAAGAGTCCATGAGGGTGGGTTTCTAAGCCCAATACTCCCCTTCCTCGTCATTACAAGAAGCAAAAACTGCACCTAAGAGCCTGCCTCTGTGCCTTGCCAAGATCAGTAGTGAGATCACAGCAGATGTCTGGTACCTAACACTAAAGAAACATCTTGATTTAGCCTTGAAAAGGTGAGCTTCAGATCATTTGCCTTGGAGTAATTAAACCAGCACCTTCTGGAGCTCTACATGTGATTTTTCCAAGAGCCATGGGCTGATATATATATGCTCTCCACAGCTCCCAGAGTCACCACATGGCACCTTGCAGCCTGATTTATTAGACCCAACAATCATTGATTATAAACATCAAGTTGCATTTCTGTGCTGCTGGAGCTGTGGGGTTTCTATTCTGGGCCATCCCAAGTGCTAACGTGGACTTGGAAGAGACAGCAATTCTGAAAAATATCTCCGGGTTAGAAAGAATATTTTTAGCTTGGTTTTGGTCAAGTAACAGCCTCAGGACAGCAATGCAGACCGGCCAGGATGTTTCAGCAAAGATGCTACCCAGCCCTGGCGTATGTTTCAGGGACAGAATAGATGCAGAGCTCCTTGGAGACACTGCCATAACTCCTGGCTGCAGGCAGAGGATTCTGCCCAGGCTCGCTCTGGCAGAGGGCAGTGCCATAGGGAAAGCTCTGCCATACGGAAGCAAAATTCCCCTTGTGCTGATGGCTCAGGGCAAAATTCCAGCAAAGAAGCCAAATGCTCAGAAGGGCCGACCAGCCAGATTTGCTAAGCCCTTGCATAAATCCAGGCCTTTATGCTGACGCTGAGGCAAGAGCCAAGCTCCTTTGCAAGTCCAAGCCATGTGCTTAAAAAGCTATTGCACACTCTGCCCCATCCCGCCCTCGTTAGTACAATCGTTCCGATGAGTCCAGATGCCCTTTGGGATACATTTCCCATGCAAGGAAGCACAGTTTTAGCCAATAAAACACTAATGAACTCATGCCCAATGGGACTCTAATGAAATGCTAACCATAATTTAATAGCAAATTAGCAAGGAAGAGGATTCAATAAAACAGCAATTCAGCTGAGCAGCCTCTTGCATCCCTGGGCTGCATGGGTCAGGCATGTTGAGCCCATGGGCCAGGAGATGCACTGTTTTCAGATTTGTGTTTGGGTAAACAGGTGCAAGCAGGAAGGAAAACCACTCAGGAGAGAGGGGCAGCAAATCAAACCTAGAGAGAACACGTACCACTCTGCAGAGCCTGGCATACCATTCATGCACAGCTACCCTCCCTGCTTACAGACTACTGTGCAATTTGCTCTGCCTTGCTCACAAGGCTAATTCTGCAAAGCAGAGGGATTTCAACTAAAGCAGTACCTCTGGCTAGGGCCAAAGGGAGAGTTAGGTTTGCACAGTTCCTCTAAGTGAGATTTGAGCCATACAGACTGTAAGGGATGCACCCAAAACTGTGCATGGCAGAATGTGTTCTCAGACCTGCCGGCTTATGGTGCAGCCCTTCACATTGGCAGTGACAGTGCGCTGCCATGCCAGGATGCTGCTTACTGGTTATGGCAGGAGAAAGGCACGTCTCACCACAAGCCCTTGCACACCCCAGCAAGCTCCTACAGCTCCCAGGAAGGCAGCAGCTGACAGTGGCAGGAAGGAAAGAGAATTTGTGCAATTCCCCATGATCCCTGTTGGTTTCACACCTTGCAGTATTTCGCATTGCAATGTATTACTTATAACTAAATGGTGTAATGGTCAGAGGAGCTTTCTTGGCTGTCAGCTCTGGGCATGATTCTCAGTCTTTAAACACCTGTAATAATACTACAGGTTTGGGTTAATTACATTAATTCCTGGCTACAGCAACATGGCAACCCCAGAAAATAGGTAAGACATCATTGCAGGGAAATACACAGAAAATTGAAAGAGTAACAAAGAAACCCAACTGTTCCTGGACTTGCACAGCTCCACAGTCAGTCTCCAACTGAAGCTCTAAGCACTCTGCTAAAATTGGTAAGCAAAGATTGAAAATGGACATCTGAGATATGCCAAAGTTAAAAAAGTAAAGATATTCAAGAAGAAAAGAAGTGGTCTCACTAATGAAAAAGTATTAGATCACTTGTAAACTCCAACCAGCTGAGAAGTGAATAAAGATTATCCCTTAATTTTATACTGCCCACAACAAAAATATTCTTCTCAATTAGAAAAGAAACCTCTCAGCAGAGCAGGATAGCCTTACCATTGACCTCAGGTTAGTGGGAGTCTATTTTCAACATCTGTCTTTTATGCAGAGTTCACCATTTAAATAACTTTAGATGGAAAATAATGCCAGCTGGTGTATGCATCGTTGCACAACACATTCCTACTGGCAGAGTATTAAAACTGCCCTTTCTGCAGAACAGAGTAACATATGTTGCTTAACAGACAGAGCATGTAACCTTGTCAGCTTAGAGTAAAATTATGTCTGAATCCCAGTGCCATGGGTATGTGTGAAAAGCACAGAAAACTCAGCCCTTAGAAACATGTTACCCATCTCTGTCACACTGTTTCTACACAGTAAAAGTGTAAGAAAACTTGTAACCACTCACTGCAGGGTAGGTTAGGCAGATCAGACACTGAAGAGGAGAGATGATGACTTTCTAGATTCATCATCCCACCACATGAAAGCATCTGAAACAAGGTTAACCTGAATAGAAGTGTCCTCATTTTATTCCAGCCCATCTGAACTGCAGCAGTTGGAGATTTAAGTCTGCCCAGTAGCACTCTCCACCAGTAAGGGAAGGTACCAGGAATCCTGAATGGTCAGATTGTGCTAGCAGAAGACAAATAAACAGAAAATTCTCTAATGGAAGTTCCCCTAAATGCACTGAGCTGCCCCTGCCTCCTTCTAGCCCTTATCCCCTTCTTCCAAAGAAAAAAAGAAAGGTTAAAAGCTTGTAGTGGGGATACTGGAGAAAGAGCAGTGGTTTGAGGATTCAACTGACACGAAAAAGGCAATTTCCACAAAATGCACTGCTACTCTGCTAGACTGGGAGGCAGGAGACAAAAATCTTCTATAAGAAAAAGCATAGAAAGGGTATATTTCTTTTTGCCAGAAAACTTATATTCCTTTGTGTTTATGCAAAAGGACATGAAACTGAGCAATGCCAGATCCCCCAGAGCCAGCACTGCTGAATGCAAAGGGCTGGCTCCGAGGCCCCTGCGATGTGAGCAGCCTGTGGTGATGTCCCTGCAGCTCTCTGTCCCTTGGACCTCATCATGCAACGAAAGCGCAAGTGCAGGGCTGGTGCAGGCCCCACAGGGGAGCAGGGCAGGGTGCTGGAAGCCAGTGTCCCGCTGCCTTGGCACCCCGTGGTGGCTCCTCCCTGCAGCTGGCTGGCACAGCAGCTAATGAAATACCTTCAGAGTTAGACTTTAACCCAAGGTCAGCTCAGGCTAATGAAAGGCATGGCAGACTAGCAAAGGCTTTCCCAGCACTCTGGGAGGAGGAGCGGTACTGTTCTCTTGATGAAGAATTAACTTATTGCAAAGTGACAGCTGAGCTTGAGTTCAATTGGCACAGACTCCATGGCTCCAAGAATTAACGACTGGAGGGGAAACCACATACC